GCACTGATGAGACAGCTGGGAGATGGTCAGTCTACTTGCTGTGTGGCAGCCTGAGGCTGAGGCACTGAACTCTGGCCTCACACTTGGAATCTGATTTGGACTCAGACTAGAAATTATACCATTGATGCTCCGGTGTCTCCGGTTTCCTAACTGTAGATCCTGGGATGTTTTCATTCCCCACAGTTGTCAACCAAGCTGAGCTTGTGACACACACACCTGCTACCCCAGCACTTGGAAGGTGATTACACTCCTGTTTCCTATTAGGTGTTCAAGGTCTCAACCTCTACTGTAGAATGAGTTTGACGCCAACCTGGGCTACATGTGATCTTGTCTCAAGATTACTTTGCATGTGTGCATAGACACATGCGCACACGCATGCACACACACATATACACACTCTCGCACACACTCACTCACACACGCACTCACACACACTCACGCACACACTCCACATGCACTCTCTCTCACACACACACTCATACACACTCACTCACACGTGCAGCTTCACCGCCCTACTGGTTGTGTTTTCAGAGAGGTGAATTGCTTTCTCAGGACTATACAAAGAGCAAGGACCGGAGCTGGGGTCCCAGCACAAGTCTGTTGACAGCCTGTCTGGTCTTTGCTGTTTCATCATGACACACTACTGCTTGTTTCCTGACCCCTTTATCAATAACACTGTTGATTCTGACCTTTATCTTTAGTCGAACGCTCAACTTGGGAAGTACATTAGCAGCCGAGACTCAGATACAGAGTTTGAGGCTCCTGGTTTACCCTCTTACTTTCTGGTCCACTAAGTTCCGTCTGTTCGCTGTTTAGGTGAACATTTCTAAGCAGTACAGTTTGCCATCCTGACCCATGTTCAGTTTTTCCCTTACATTTTTAATTAAAGCAACATTAAATATTCTACTGATTCCTAAAAAAAAAAAACAGTACAAATGGGCAGGTGATAAATTAATTTATCCTTATTTGGGGGAGATAATAACATTTAGTTATCTGTTTTCAGAATGATTCCCTAGGCTATAGCAACAGAGACAAAGAGGCAGCAAAGGCTCCGGAGCCAGATGTGGCTTGAGTTCCTACTTCACTGGAGACTAGGCAAGCCAGGGCAAGCCTCTCTACACCCTTAGGTTCCACAACTACAGAATGGGGATAATGAGATAACCACCCCTGCAATGCTGAGGAGATCATGTAATGTGCTAGCACAATTACAGGTACCTACACAGTAAGTCTGTAATAAATGTTAACACTTTGGGAGGTATGACTAGCTATGAATAACTTCCTTTTTCTTCCAAGTGAACAAAATCCCCGTAAAACAAAGACACAGACAAAGGTTAGCAATAAACTGGCTAGCAAGAGACTGCAATTGCCAGATGTCCTTGAGGCTCCCAGGGACCATTCTGAGTTCTGGCCAAAGAGAGACATGTGAAAACATAATGTAGGGTTTCCACCAGGTCTTCCTGATAGCTGGGGCCCTGCGCTTCCCTCTCTCGGTTCTGTTTCCAGGAACACAGAGACTAGAGTTCCTGTAACTATCTGCAGCTCCAAGGACGGATGCTGCAATTGAGTTTCTCTGAACAACAGATTAGAAGCAGTCTGGTTCCCGAAGGGTTTCCTGGATATCAGCCCTGTGCTGCTTTGGCTTGTCCCTCACGGAGTCTAAAAATCCAACTAGAGGCTTGAACCCATTTTGAGTCCATGTTTTTGCAGATAAAGGCAAGATGGGACAAACACAGCTTGCACATCTTCAAGACCCCTCCTCCTTAAGATGGTTCAATCTTGACTGACAGCTTGAGTGGACTGAAGAGTGCCTAGAAGACCAGCAAAGAAAACCCTCGGCTGTGCCGATGAGGGTGTGTCCAGAGATGACTAAGGCAGGTGGGAATGCTTACCAAACTGTGGGTGGCAATCATGTGACAGAACAAATTGTGGGACGAAAAGAGGAAGGAAGAGGAAGCTCACTTGTGCAGGCAGGAGCTCCCTTCTCTGCATCCCAGCAACCAGGCTGTAAGCTAGCTCTCTGCTCTTGCTCAGGCTCACAGCAATGGATCCATGCAACCACGAACTCAAGCAAAACCATGAGCCAGAATAATCCTTCCACCCTTTCAAGTGTTTCTCTCAGGTGTCTGTCAGCACAGCAACAAGATGCTAAGGACACCTCTCTCAGAAATCAGTCTTTCACCAAAATCTCCTCTCTCCTGTTCAGAACTCCAGGGATCCATGTTCTATGCACTATGTAGCTTGCCCGTTATCCATTGATCAGGGCTTTATATTGTACGCTATGGCATCCCATACAACCTTAGGGATGTATGGGATTAGATTCAGCTCTGTCTAATGGGTGGGTGATGATAAAGCATCCTTCTCTGTTTCCCTGAGCAGCTACACGCTATGAGCCAAAGCCTCCTGGAATGTCTGAGTAATCAGCAAGCATGATGGGAGCAACAGGTCAGAGCCAGGGCACATGCTGAGACTGTCGCCCGCTTGGAGCCTGGCTGCAGCTTAAAACAGTCTCCTCACAAATAAGTTAACACATTTCCCAAATGCTCACTCCGACTCCCAGGGAGTTTCAAGGGTTCGTGAGCAAAGGAGAAATGAATATTTATCTGACTAGGAAATTAAAAAGCAACCAAATTCCCCGGGGTTATGTACTTTACACCCTAACTTTAGTGACCAGTATAACGTTATCAGCTGTTCAAAATTCTACATAAGATACCAGAAGGTTATTTGTTCCTGAGCAAATACTGGTCAGTGGTTAAACCATAATCATTAAACCCACGGTCCACTGTTCAACTATCCTATGCTTTCATTCTTTCTTAATATGAATTGAATACAAAAAATGCATAGATTTCATTTGGACAAGTCAGGATTTGTGTGTCTATAGGATAAAGTGTAGGAAGAGGCCAAGCAACAGCTCCTTTAAAAGTGTGTGTGACTGTGTGTGTGTGTATATCTGTGTATGTGTGTATATGTCTGTGTGTGAGTGTATCTGTGTGTGAGTCTGTACCTGTGTGTGTGCCTGTGTGTGAGTCTGTGTGTGTGAGCCTGTGTGTGTGTGTGTGTGTGTAGTGCAGTGTGCATATGTGAGAGATGGGTGGGAGGAGGAAGAAGGTGATCTCTGGTCTTCACTGAGCATGCTCTTCAAAGTGAATTTTCTTTCTAGGAGTTCAAAAAGATCTACAGATAATATGCCATTGCCTTTCCCCTCTATCTCTATCTATCCCACTGACTCTGAGAGGTTAAATGGCTGACAAGGCCATCCAGTTCATAGTCACCTTTCCTAGGACCTTCAGACTGCAGATTGATGTTGATTAGATTTCTGAGGACATGTGTCAGCAGCCTTGATCTAACTCCCAGGGTCTGCTAAATACTCAAGCCCGGTGGACAGAAGGATCTAGGAGACATTGGAGAAGTTACACTACCTCCTCACTACATGTCCAAGCCGCCCAACAGGCTTCTCTTGGATCTATCTGGTGATGACATTAAATGTGACTCCAGGTATACAGCTAGGCCTGCTAACATGGAAGTTCTGCGGGTTGCATGCAGATCAAAGTTTCTGAAGGAGAAATTGACATACAGAAGTCATCTCTTCAATTCAAAATAAAAAATGCAGCAAATGTGCTCTATAAAAACATAGTTATTATGTTCACAGAAAATATAACAACTCCCCAATATCATATAGATACAAAAATCAGCGGGCGGCAGTGACACAGGCCTTCAATTCCAGCACTCAGAGGCAAGCGGATCTCCAAGTTCTGGGCCAGCCTGGCCTACAAAGAGTTCTAGGAGAGGCTCCAAAGCTACAGAGAAACCTGATCTTGAAAAGCCACCCCTCCCCCAAAATAAAATTTTAGAAAAGAGTCCAGAAGATGGCTCAGGAATTAAGAGTGACTGCCGCTCTGGCAGAGGACCCGAATTCAGTTCCCAGGTCCACAATGCAGCTCACAACTGCCTGCAACTTCAGCCGGGGGACCTGACCCCTTTTCTAGACTTGCCTGGCACAGGTACATATATAATATGTGCTCAGAGGGACACATGTATACACAAATAAAAATAAATCTGAAGAGAAAACCTTACTGCATTTTATAAAAATGTTATTTACTTTTTAAAAGCTTAATTAGTTAAAAAAAAGTCCCTTAATCAGTAAGCATTAGAGAAATGTAATTTATCAAATTACATTTTACACACTTGTCTTTTTAGGAACAAATAATTGTAAATTAAGAAAAATATTAGTAGCTTAAAAAATAAAGTGGTTCTATATTATTTAATTTCTTATAATGATATATGTACCCTAAGTGAAATGTAACTCAAATAAAGTAATTATTGTATTATTATTACCTTACGTATTATTACTAAATTATTCCTTTAAGTACCCTAAATGAAATGTAAGTCAAATAAAGCAATTTATTACAAGGAAGGACATAAAGATATTATCATGCAAAAACAAAACAAAACAAAACCCCAATAATCTTAGTGTGGTGCCATTACCAAATAACCAACTGAACTGAAATGGAGGGGGTCATAGAGGAGAAGAAAAAGAAAGGCCTAGGACACAGCTCAGGAGCAGAGCACTTGTCTGGGACACAAGTGGCTCAAAGGTCAATCCCCAACCCTGCAAGATCCAAACAAGTAAGAGAAAGGCAGACACGAAAGCACCTATAATAAAGCAAGCCTCAACTTGCATCTAAGAATGGCAATTTTAAACGCAATATTCAAAAATTGAAAGCAGGTCTCATTTCACCCAACCAGTAAAAACATGTCTAATTGAGCCTCTATATTCTGTTTTCTTAAAGTACTTAGCCACGTGTGTGCATGCTATGTGTGCACACACTCATACGGTCTCTAAATGTAGGGGGACTGGCAGAGGAATGTGCTGAGCGCATGGCTGCCTCATTCCAGGTTTTCAAAAGATCGTCAACACTTGGAGGGAGTTGTAAAACAAGCAGCTCCCACAGACCAGGAAGCCAAAGCAGAAGCCCACGAGTGAAGAAAGACTATGCACGTACCGTGTAGAGTTCATTAAGAACCTTCATTAAGTCCTCATGCAGTTGGAATGCGATCTCCTTGCTCTACAAAGAAGAGGAGAAAAACATTACGATACGAGAAATTTTGTTCTTAAAGTTCACACATTTTAAAGACCACTAACTGAAGATAGACGGATGTATAAAACATAATAGAAAGCCACTGTGTTCTTAATACCACAAAACACCTTCGGCCCTACAGCCGTTTCTCATACGGAGGAGCATGGCCGACGGTCAGCCAGGGTGGCTCCCCCAGCAGTCATGTCAGACCCTGTGGGAGAGTGGGTAATGTGTGCACAAGGTAAAGCGTCATGCTTGCTTTGAAGGTGAGCGGCAGGCCAGGCATGGCGGTGCCTATGATAATCCTGGCATTAGGCAGGCAGAGGGAGGAGGACAGGGAGTTTCAGGCCAGCCTGAGCCACTGTCTTAATCAAAAACCAGAGGCCAGCGAGATGGCACTCGCGGCGTAAGCCTAAGGTCTTGGGTTTGCCCACATGAAGGAGGAGGGAGAAAACTGACTTTACAAACCCGTCCTCTCACCACACGTGCAACGTGGCACATGCGCACCCCATAACACCCTACACACCCCAACAGGAAAATAAGTGGAGAGCAGGCTGCAAAGGGTGAGCTTGAGCATCAGCTTTCCTCAGTGTAATCACACTGCATTCTACGGTGGTGATGACCCAAACAGCAAAGTTAGAGGAAAGGAACTCTTCGGGGTCACTACAATTTAAGAAAACACTTCTGAAGCTGCCCGACAGCAAGTCCACGTAAGGTCCACACACTTCTACATCTGCCTTATTTTTTATGAAGACCAAACATCAGAGTCAACTCCTCTGCCTATCCAGAGTTTGATGGTGGGATATTTGCATATTGTTTTCCTTCAAGCTGTTTTATTTTATAGGAAATAGAGCCAGACGTGTTTATCTGTTTTGGGTTCATCCCATAGTCATCTACAGAGAATGCAGAGTGTGTGGTTGGCTCCATCTATAATGTGAGATGGTACCAGAAGCCACTGCTGCTCACACTGGGTTGTACAGTTTCCCATGCCACCTATGAGTGGGTACCTAGGACATAGGATTTAAGATGGCTCCTAATCAATCTCACCCAACCTGCCCGTCCTGGCTAGGTGCACGGGAAACTCTGAGCAAAGCCTTTGATGACCACAAGAGCAAGCTAAACTGCTATTTCTGAGGGGAGTGAAGCAGTTGCTATGGCTACCAAGACCACCTGCAGACTGCGTGGAGGGGAGATGACCATGGTCTTAAGAAACTGGGACTCAGATCAAATCGGATCTGTCTATTTTGGGGAGGTTATTGGTGTAGGCCTCAGGAAGAAGCAAAGACCAAACTGCTGAAATGAAGATTCATGGGTGATAAAATGCCACGGGAAGAAAGCATCAGAGTCACACAATGTTGAGAGATTCAGATTCACCAGCCACGTTCATCAATGGGTTTCCTTGGGCTCCTGGACAGCGTTGCATATGCCAGGTTGCGACAGTGTCTAAGTCTCTAAATTGGATTTAGGAATTTTAAATATTCTTCTGTTAAATAAATATGAGGAGACTAAGAGTCACTCCCGAGTAAAAGGGAACGCACACGTGGGCTAATATAGTCCCGGAACTCTATGCTCCCAAACTGGGACTCTAATTGTACGCATTATACTACAATCTCCTGTGACTTCAGCTTGCTGTTTTTTTAATATCAGGTTTCATTCAAAGAACTGGGCCATCAATTTAAACTCTCTAATGGGATCAAAGGCCACCAAGGAGTCCTGCTCAGTTACCCACGTTTCAAGTAGCAAGTCCAAAAAGAAAATATATCTTGGCTAAGATTTCCAAACAATAACAGAAAAAAAAATCCCACCGGTTCAATTAATCTCACACCAGTATATTTAAGGTCAGAGCAAAAGCTTAGCTTGAGGCTCTATGGGTCATCCACGTAACCCTTGGCTATGCACCCTAGAACAAGCAGGGTGGATCGTGGCACGTTGTACAAGATTTCAGGTGATGGGGTAGACACAAAATCTGGGCTACACTTGCATTTTAATTTCACCTTTCATGAGATCTCCTCCCCCGTCCCCCCGTGTATGTGTGTATGTGTTTTCTAGGAGGCAATATGTCAAATGCTTAAAAGGAAGGGCTCAAGAGTCAGAGAACCCATTTTGACTCCTCAGAGATGTTGGCTCCCTGTCTCAGTTTGTGATCTATAAGATGAAGGGCAACTCTTTGATTGAAAGTCCATTGACCTCCACGTAAGAGGTGCTTCTTAGAAACTGTCTGATTTGATGCTGATGCCACTCCCCATGGCCCAGGGTTTTTAGTTTCCCCAGATGGCTGTTAACTTTGAAAGGCCCCTAAGTACTGTGTTCCAGCACGCGTTTTTCCTACTGCCTCATCATGGACACGGACTCAACTTAGCTTCCTAAGCTCTGTACCCTTGAGGGTGCTGCTGCTAGTGACAATGGATGAATTAATGAAGCATATACCAGAAAACTGATAGCCCTTGAAGTCAATGTGACATGACCTATACATTCTATGAACGAGACCTTTAAAGACCTGTCTTCAGTGGTAATTTTAACGATTGTGGCAAGTTGATAGAGCATTGCTTTCAATAGGGAGCAATCCTCAGAACACAGTAGCATGATTTCTATTTGCTCACTGAGTTAAGATCTAAACCTGTCCCGACCTAGTGGGCTAACTCACAATTCATCATTCTCTTCCTATCATCATGCATTTCTTCTTTAGGAGACAAAGTCTTGTTATATAGTCAATGTTGGCCTTGAACCCCCTCACCCCATCATGCTCCTTCAGCCTTGTGAGGCAGTGACTGGGGTTCACTACCACTCATATGTCTTTAGGGATCAACAAGGAGCTGGCTGCTTTGAACAGCCTAGTTTATGTGGCTTATGTGGCTGTGAGAAACACGAATCCAAATCTTTGTATTTAGAGATACACGGGCCGGAACAACATCACTAGCTAACGAGAAGGCTGCGGGCATGGTTCCTGTTCTCACGGCATGGAAACCTTACAAGAGTCACTTCATCTTACCCTCCCTCACTCCAATCAAAATGAGGCTCCCACCGATCACTGTCACAACGGAAGTAATGATTCCCTCTAAATAGTACTCCAGACACCTACAGCATCACTTCTTCAATCAGAACAGCAGCTGGAGCACCACAGAATCTAGGAACCCTACACTGATAAACTTTTCATTGCTTAGCTAGCCTATAAAACAATGAGCTTTTAGAACATTTCTGGATGTCAAAGGTCATCAAAATTCAGCAGGGTGTCATGCACCTGGGTCCTGTTTCACTAAAAATGAAAATTGAAGAGACCCTTGACACTTGAGCAAGAACTATTGCCTAGATAAAAAAAACAGACACAGATCTTAAGGAGAGAATGACTGTTCCTTTTGTATAAGATAAATTCTAACACATTATACTTTCCAGGGATGAGATGGTTTTTCTGCTAGTTGAGTGAAGTGGTTAAGGTTACTTTTCCATAGAGGAAGAGAGCCCCTTGATTGCCCAGAGCCCCCTAGAAACACAGAAAAGACCACTTCTTCCCAAACTATGCCTACAGGAGCTAAAATGATGCTCAGTCTTCTGACGTTTTGACAGAGTTCTGGGATTCTGATCCAAGGGGAGAGAAATTTAGTTAACACTTGTTAAATGCCTTCAATATAAACCTAGGGGTAAATTCTAAACTCTGAACTTTGATATTTCAGAAACATCAAGCACAAATTCAAAATGACCATTTCTAGGGCTTTCTTCTGTTTTCATGCTGAAAATGATGAAATGTGTTGAGGGACATGAGAAAAGAGGAAAGCCACCATTGCGACATACCACCTTTCCTTCAAGTGCGTTTCTCTAACCTGAGTCTGAGCTATGACTATCATAACCAAGTAAATTGTTCTACTTTTTTTATCTGCCATATTTTTTCATGTATTTATATCACGTTTGGAGTCCTAACAGCTCACTTCACCACAGCCACCCAGGAGTACACACCTTCATGTTATGATTTCACTTCCAATGTTTCCTCCATTTCCCACCAATCATGTGATAACTTAGTTTATTGGCTGACTCAAATGACTTCATCTTAAGATAAGGTTTCCCAATTTAGCCCAGGCTGACTATAAATTTACACTTTTGCCTCAGCTCCATGAGGGGCTCACTTTTTCATACCGTATTTTTTTCCAATTTCAGATAATTATCAGTACTAACATACAAGTTCCCCATACTGTAATCATTCGATTTGTAGATACAAGAGACACATGAACTGCTGAATGTTATAAATCATAAGATAATTTAAAATTTCAACATAGTAGTTTTAAAAAAGACAAAAGGAAAGAATGATGCTATTTTAATGCAAATATAAAGCAAGAATAAAATATCTAAACAAAGCTAATATTCTAAAGAGGTTTTTCTCAACTCGTAATTTTTCTGCTCTCTACTCTCCTAAAAACCAAGAGAGTATTCATTACAGATTAGAAATCTGAAATTCCTAAAATTTAATTGATAAGTATATGGTTTTCTTTATAGGCATTATCTATTACACAAAAGCCACTGGACAGGGTTTCTCTGTGTAACAGTCCTGGCTGTCCTGGAACTCATTTTGTAGACCAGATATCTACCTGGTTCTGCTTCCCGAGTTCTGGGATTAAAGGCATGAGTCACCACCACCCAGCAAAAAGTAATTCTATATCCAAACTAAAGGGCCAAAGCTCAGTAGGTGGGGAAGGTGTCAATTATGCAGTTGTGTGGTGTGTAGGATGCTGTAGTGAGCTCAGGACAATGCGCACAAAAGGCTGGTAGCAAGAAATGAAGCAGTGTTTTTTTCAAGGTCATTTGGGTGGGTTCCTGGCACGTATCCCACTCCAGTGTCTGTTCCAAGATAGCTCTTGGTGTCTGATCATTTGCCAAAACGGTACAATCTTTTGGGCAGGCACAAAGCCTTCTTGTTAAGTTCTGCAGAATGAAGGTGTAGGACACATAGACAGTTCTGGAAGTCTTCTTCTGAGCTGTTGCCTAGGAGGCAGAGAGCAGGA